ATCTCCTTCTCACCCTCTCGCTATCTGACTTCACTGCATCAGCAGACTACGAGAGAGAGAGAGAGAGAGAGAGAGAGAGAGAGAGAGAGAGAGAGAGAGAGAGAGAGAGAGAGAGCTTGGTGACATTTGGATCCAGACTCGGCATTGGACTTCAGACATTTTGATGAGGGATTATTTGGGACTTGTAACGAGACTTGGTGTTGACGACTTTCCCATCTCCCCCTTCCTCTTCTTCGTCAGATCCCCTCCTCTTCGTTTGTGTATGTCTGGACCTGGCGCCTCTTTCCGGTGTATAGCGCCAGGCCCCTTCACACCTTGTGATGAGCATGATGTATGTTTGGTCTGCGTTGAAACATTGATTGGGCTAGTCATTAGTACTCTAGCATTCTGCTTCTCTATATTGTACTACGTGAAAGAGGTCAGACCCGGTCAGGTCAGGACTTGTATCTAAGTCTTCCACTGCGCTATAAAGCACCATTTTGTATGTATCAGAATGCACACTGCTTGTTGAGATTCCACTTGCACTGCATTGTCCATTCAGTCCTTTTCATCACATTGCGGATCCTCGGTTATTATGTACATCGCCCAACTGGGCATGTAACAATTGATATCGGAACACTGCACGTGAATCAGGACAACCTGATCTGACACATGTGCGGGGACTAGGTAGCTGATTAGTCTTGATTGATTGATTAGAGCACACTAGTTAGCCCCCAAAATCACGATTTTGACCTTACTGCCGCAGTCTGGTTCCTATTCCACCGGCAAGTCAGAATAGACATTACAATAAACATACAACTCCCACGCTTCCTTCCGTCTGGCCGAAGGAAATTTTTTTCTTTTCTTGGATTTTGTTTTCTCGCTATGTCTATTGTGAAAAATCGCAATAGCGCAACATCTGAAATTTCCATTTTCGTTTTTCTTCTGAAATTTTGAAATTTCGTTGTTGAAAATCCAGAATATCTTTCTGTTCGAAAATTTCGATTTCCTTTTGCAATTCCCGTTATTTGGAAGTTCGGAATATTCTTTTTTCGAAATTGTTTTTTTTGAAAACGGTACGGGAATCCCTCCTGCAGTTATCACTTTCCAAACTGCACATCTGAGTAATTCCGAATTTTATTTTCGGGATTCTTTTAGTCACATTTTTTTCTCAATGGTAATTTTGAACTTCAAGGGAGATTGGGAGACCTACTGAACTTGCAAAACTTGGGATTTCTATTTCTTTTCGAAATTTCTTTTTGCAAAGTTCAAACTTTTTTTTTGATTAGTGGCTCCTTATCAAGGCGATTTTTCCCACCCACCCTCCCCACCTATGTTGTTGCCCCCTCTCGCCTTACCTTCTCTACCTGTCTCTGGGTAACCCCTACGGCGGCATTGGTGAGTTGCCACATCAGCAGGCCACGTCAGCGGACCACTTCAGCAGAACATGTCAGCAGGCCACGTCAGCCGACAGCAAAGCCACGTTAGTAGCAGGGAGTACCACGTTAGCAGGCCCCCGCCCTGGTCTATGCTTTTGCGTTCACAAACAGCCGTCATGGACCAGAAGTCCGGAGAAACGGACGAGGCCTATCAGGCCCGGATGCTGGCCTGGAGTACCGAAACCAAGAGACGGGCGGATGACGTAGCAACCGCAGCGAAGAAGAAGGCAGAGGACGCCGAGAAGGCACGTCTGTTGGCAATCGAACAGCAGCGCCAGCAAGACGAGGCAGCAACAAGGGCTGCCAATGAAGAACGAATTCAACGACGTGAGAAGATATTCGGGAGAGAGCGAGCCTTGCTCACAATGGCAGCGGAATGGCGGACAGAGGCCGAGAATGGAAAGATGAAGGAGAGTGAAAACAACATCGCTCTACTCCTCTCCCATCTCACAAACCTCCTAACCACGTGCATTGCACACCAGGAGGACATCCACAACCTCGACGGCATGGTTCAGCAGCACAAACGGGCGTTAGATAGCCGCCTCCAGCAGTTGGAACAAACCATTGCCGCTCCCGTTGCCAGCTCCTCCAACACCTCCGATCGCCTCGAGGCTTTGGAGATTGACGTCGGATCCCTCACGGACGGCGTGCAGTTACAGCACACCACGACGCAACAGTTGGAGCAGCGCATCTGTGCTGCAGCCGCCAACCCAAGTTCGGGACTGCGGGAGTCAACTCCAAAGTTCGATGGTCAAGAGATCTTCTGCGATTCGATGAAGACGGACCCAATTCCGTGGTTCCGCAAGTTTGAACTCACGTTGCAGCTCCATCTCGTCAGCGAATACAAGCACCACGCGTACTTATACTCCAGGTTGGGAGGCGCATGTCAAGCATGGATGGACAATCTCTTGTCCAAGTAACGGGGTGGTCGCTGCAGAGTTGCACACGAAGATCAGTTGGGATGATCTAAAGGCGGCATGGCATAAGCGGTTCCAAGTAGAAACGCGGAGATCAAGGCAATGGACAAGCTAATGGTCTTCGAACAAGGCACACTGCCGAGTACTGACTGGATTGCCGAGTACCAGCGCTTGACACCCGTCCCAGACATTCAAATGGGCTTCAAAGCCATCCGCCACTATTTTATCTCAAGGTTGTGTCCGACATTGAGCAATGCCTTGACTCACGTCGAGGACACCCTAACGACAACGACAGAACTATTTGACAAGGCTGTGCAGAGGCTAAGAACCTGCGTTCGTCTACAGCAGGCCCGAGCAGAGATCAACATCGGCCGAAAGTGGCCTTGGTCGCGGCGGCAACGCCATTTGACCAAACTAGCAAGGCCGTGTCTGCCAATGAACAGGACAGACTCGCAGTCGGCCGGGAAGGTGGCCGCCACGGCAAAGGCCGAGGACGCGACAAGGCGAAGACAAACACCGCATCTAGCCTCGGGCCTGGCGCAGCAGCTCTAGCCCCATGGTCCCAGTACGGTCTCTCCGAGCAAGCATTCAAAGAGCGCACAAGATTTCACTATTGCCTATGGTGCAACAACGATCTCCATGAGACAGTGGCCTGCCAGTCAAAAGGCAAGGGCAAATCGGAAAACTGAGCACGGTTGGGAGTGACTCGACGACACTCCCGAGGCCTTTGGAACTGGTCACTTCGCGGGTGACCGCCCTTCGTTCCGAGACACACGTGGAAGTTGATAGTCCTCCTCTTCTTTATTCTTTTGAGGACTATGCTGCCCGACTCTTACGCTGAGTACTCGAGCTCAAGGACAAGATGTGTGTGCGGCATCTTCTCCATCCGACAGTGGCGACTTATCGTCTTCAAGTGGTTCTTCACGGGATTCGGTGCGCGAGTTCAACATGAAGGTATTGGACCCACTCACGTCCGGGGATTTCGCATGGCTTCCTCTCCCGACCACGGGCCGCTTGCCGGGACCGCAATGCGCAACACTATGCGCTCATCTTCACACGTACTTATCCTTCTATGCACCTCCAACTTCGCTGACGGATGACGAAGTCGCGGTGGGGGACATCCTTGCGTATGTTACCAAGGTGGCCTGCGAGTTTCGCAATCAGCGGTACGACGACAACAACGCACCGCTCATCTATGTCCGCATCCAAGTGGGGCAAGCGTCCTTCAGCGCGTCTCGCAACTTTATGAGCCAAGCCTTTATGCAAAGGGTTGGCCTTGGTGCACAAGTTCGGAGGAAGGCAAGCTCGACGGCGATCAAGTTGGTGGACGAAAGGACGCAACAGCTTATTGACCGCTACATCGACGCCGTACCGGTGCATTTCGCACCTCATGCATGCGAACCGGTGACATTTGACATTTTGGACACATACTTCGACATTATTTTGGGAATGCCTTGGTGCGGATCACACGGTCAACTTCCACCGACCGACTCTTACCGTTCGCGATGCTTTCGGCGTCGAAGTATCGTGTACTATTCTTCTTCCGCACCCTTCGATTCGGTGCCAAGTGGTGACGGCCAAGTCATTCCAGGCGACTTGCGCTTACGAGCAGCCCGACGAAATCGGCCTATGTTTCCTACGGACCGTCGCAGTAAGCCGACTCTTCACCCACGGACTTGTCTTCGGACCCCCGTGTGGTGTGATTGCTTGACGAGTTCGCCGACATCTTCGAGTTACCTACCGGTGTGGTGCCGGATCGGCCGATCTCTCACGAGATCATTCTTGAGGCCGGTGCCGTGTCGTCGAAAGGTTGCATTTATCGCATGAGCGAGGAGGAGCTTACGGTCCTGCGCGCGCAACTCGATGACTTGTTGGACAAGGGTTGGATCCGCCCTAGTAGCTCACCATACGGTGCGCCAGTTCTCTTCGTACGGAAAAAGAAGAAGGATCTACGTTTATGCATCGACTACCGCAAGCTCAATGCGCAAACCGTCAAGAATGTGGGGCCGCTTCCTCGCATCGACGATCTTCTTGAGCGATTGGGCGGCACAAAGTATTTTTCTAAGTTGGATTTAAAGTCGGGATATCATCAAATCTCGATCCGGCCGAACGATTGCTACAAATCCGTGTTCAAGACACGGTACGGGCATTTTGAGTGGGTGGTTATGCCTTTTGGCCTCAGCAACGCCCTGGCGACCTTCCAAGCGGCAATGACCAACGAGTTTCGTACGATGTTGGACCGGTTCGTGCTGGTCTACTTAGACGACATTCTCGTCTATAGCCGGTCATTAGAGGATCATCTTGAGCACCTTCGACGAGTGTTGGAAACGCTCCGCCGCGCCAAGTACAAGGCCAACCGCGACAAGTGCGAATTTGTCCAGCAAGAGCTGGAATACTTGGGCCATTTTGTCACACTGGAGGGCATCAGTCCGCTATTGGACAAGATTCAAGCCATCCAAGAGTGGCCGGAGCCACGAAACGTCACGGAGGTCTGTTCGTTCCTTGGCCTGGCCAGCTACTACCAGCGTTTTATCAAAGGATACTCGAAGATCGCGGCCCACTTGACCAAGCTTCAATGCGAGGATCGGCCGTTTGACTTCGGAGAGGAGGCGCGGGAATCATTTTTGGCTCTCAAAGTCGCGCTGTTATCTGCGGAGGTCTTGCGCATATACGACCCGCTTTTGCCTACTTGCGTCACTACGGATGCGTCCGGCTATGGCATTGGTGCCGTCCTCGAGCAACACGATGGCGTGGACTGGCACCCCAGTCGACTATTTCAGCAAGAAAGTGCCCGTCGTGCACTCCATTGATGATGCACGCAAGAAGGAGCTCCTCGCCTTCGTCCACGCGCTTAAGCGGTGGCGGCACTTCCTTCTTGGTGGAAGCCAATTCCGATGGGTAACGGACAACAATCTGTTGGTCTTTTACAAGACCCAAGACACTGTCAACAGCACCATCGCTCGATGGATGGCTTTCATCGACCAATTTGACTTCTTTCCCGGTCACATTCCGGGGAAGTCGAACCGTTTTGCGGATGCTCTTTCACGGCGTCCGGATCATTGTACCGTGGTCTACTCAACCTTTGAGATCGACGACGACCTGCGGGACAGCTTCATCCGCGACTACCTAGCCGACCCCGAGTTTCGCGACAAGTACGCGAATTGCTCCTCTCCCAATCCGGCGCCTTCTCACTACCGGATCCAAGAGGGGTACTTGCTTGTCCACACACGGGGGAAGGACCTTCTTTGCGTACCCAGTGACCCTCACTTGCGTACACGGCTTCTTGGCGAGTTCCACGATGCTCCAGCCACCGGACACTTTGGAGTCAATCGCACGATTGGCCGACGTCGCGAGCGATTTTGGTGGCCCGGCCTTCTCGGCGACGTCACACGCTATTGCGAGTCATGCAAGGTTTGCGGACGTTGTAAATCCCGCAACCATCGTCCGTACAACGAGTTGCGAACGTTACCGGTCCCCTTGCGGCGAAGGGAAGCAATTGCCATGGACATTATCGGCCCATTCCCCAAGCACAAGACCGGAGTGGATGGGATTCTCACGGTGGTCGACCAACTCACCAAGTTCACCATGTTCTTGCCTTGCGGCTATCATGCCAAGGCACTGGAGTTGGCCGAGGTTCTTTATGCCGGTTGGATTTAAACCAAGGGTTACCCCAAGGAAATCGCCTGCGACCTCGACACTCGGTTCATATTGGATGTTTGGTTGGCGCTCATCAAACGATGGGGGTCATCTCTCAAGTCAAGTTCGCCTCGCCACCCCCAACCGATGGCCAAACGGAGAGGGTGCATCAGACCGCACAGGTTCTCCTTCGCACTCTCATCCGTCCCGACCAAAAGGATTGGGTTGAGAGGCTGCCGGATGTCGAGTTGGCCTACAACTCGTCCATCCACCCGGCTATCGGGATGTCGCCCTTCGAGTTCGAGCACGGCTCGCCGGTCACTTCGCCGTTAGACACAATCATTTCGCGAACGGCCGAGAGCAACGACCATCTCTTTTTCTTGCATCGGATGCAAGAGCTACTTGTCAAGGCACGCGGCCAGATGGCCAAGACGCAGCAACGCATGAGCCAACAGGCCAATCACCAGCGTCTTCCTTGCCCATTCCGCGTCGGCGATCTCGTTTGGGTTTCCGCCGCATAATTCAGCCTTGAACAAGATATCTCTCGCAAGCTCCTCCCAAAATGGATGGGGCGTTGGCCAATCGTGGCACCCGCTGGGGATGCACCCGAAGGACCTTCCTTCACCATTCAGGTGTCCGCCCACTTGCCCGTCTACCCGGTCTTTCATTGCTCCAAGTTGGCTCTTTACACGCCAGCAGAACATGACGATTTTCCCGGGTGACGATCGCAAGACCCACCCTCTATGGACAGTTTTCAAGAGTTTCGCGACATCTTTCCCAGCGACGCTACGGCAACAGGCCAACCGAGTATTTGGTACACTTTGCATACTGCAGTCACAAAGCTGACCGTTGGTTAACCCGTGCGGAACTCCAAGCCACAGCTCTGGATGTTCTCGCACGCTACAAACAGAAGATGCAAGGCAAGCCGGTATCTTCGGCTCCACGTCGCACCCGCATCCACGTTCCACCTTCAGATCATCAGCTTCGCCCTCGCCCCGGCTTGACTTCATAAGGAGGGGGGGGTGTTACATGCTGTGCCTGCAACAGGTTGCATGGGCCATTTTTCAGGCCCGTGTTGTTTTCAGGCCAAAAGCCTGAAAACAAGGGGCTACAGGCCCCGTGTCGTTTCAGCCTGAAAGCCTAAAAACGAGGGCCTACAGGCCCTGTGTCGTTTCAGGCTAAATCGGGGCCTTTCCGGCCCTGAGCGTTTTCAGCCTGAAACTGAGGGCCATTTTCAGGCCCTCATAACACCGACCCACCCTGAAACTCAGGCACCCGACCAGGGTTTTAGCCCAGGCCATTTCTGGCCCATTTTCAAGACAACCTTTGTTTGAGCTTCAACCCCAGGGTCGGGCACGTTGAGGCATTGGCAAGAGCAGCCTCCTGGACGGGCCAGCACTATATAGGACTGGCCCGCCTTGCAGGCCGGCAGGTAGTTCCAAGGTACTTCCAAGGCACTTCACGTGCAGTTCAGGAGGCAAGAGGTAGTCTTCAGGATTCGGCAACAGCACTCTGGAGGAGTGCTGCAGGAGTAGTAGCAGCGTTAGCAGTAGTCTTTAGAGTTGGGCGCTAGTAGCGTTAGTTGTAGTCTTCCGCACTGCACACCATAGTAACTAGAGTAGTACTAGAGAGAGAGAGATTGGGCGGAGGCCAGATGGACTTACCTGCGGCGCCGTTGCTCCAGCTTCGTGTTATGAACTTGGTTGTCTGACGATTTTTACCGCCACTCACACACAGACAGTCTCATACACGCCCATACATGCATAAGAGGAGGGGGAGAGGAGACAAAGTCCAAACTGCACACAGATCAGAGTAGACAGCGAAAGTTCAACCATGGACAAATGGGGAGAAGACACTCCGTGTTTCTCACTCTCTGACAAACTCCCAACAACCAATCACATGAAGACACCTGCGAGGATAACAATCGGAATTCACACCGATGATGAGCCAATTACAACCAAATATCGTTACAGAGTTTGTTCCAGTGTCTCGTCACTTTCAGAACCCCACACTCCACTCTCTACCCTACACCCAGTTAGTAGCACAACGCCGAAATGGCCTCCCAGAGGCCAGCGCCAACCAGCCAGATGAAGAACAGATCCTGCGATGAAGTCTTCAATGCCGATGGGCAACTCTGACGAAGAAACAGGCAGCTATGGCTGCCGCCACCCACAAACACCCAGTGAAGAGCCTTGAGATAGCCTGGATAGATGCAGATACCCCGAGGGGTAGATGCGCTGAGGGTGCCGCAGCTCTGGCAACCTTCAGAAGGGCCGGCTATGGCTGCCGTCCACGGCAAGGGTCTCAGGATGCCGTTTGTAGACAAGCACCACCGCCAACTTGCTTGGCTTCTCCAAAACCTGCGTCGCAAGAATAAGCTGCCAAAAGTCTTGAACAGTTCTACCCCAACCTACTTGTAGATTTTACACTACTCTAGCCTAGGACCTACCGGTACCGTTTCAGTTAGGGCCTGCTCGGCCTCTACGAAATCGGTCCTACTACTGCACTTAGGGCTCAAGNTCAGTTAGGGCCTGCTCGGCCTCTACGAAATCGGTCCTACTACTGCACTTAGGGCTCAAGGCCACTTAGGGCCGGTAACTACTCAGCCTCTACTGTTGTTGCTTCAGGCTATTTTTAGAACAACGGGCGGCCCTCAGTGCGACCAAAAACGCAAAGACACGACAAACACAACAGTGCATTGTACAGCCTTGCAGTCAATCACGGCAGCAGAAACCAGCAAGTCATTGCAGTCTTACCCCCCCGGGGAACGAGGACCTCCGAGCTAGGGATGCATACGAGGTGAACGGCGAGGAAGGTTGCCCTTCTGAGCCGCTTCATATCGCAGAACAACTGACTTTGTTGTCTTGAGAAGTTCCCTTCTGTAGAACCATCTGTTCTCAATAGGAGGTTGGAAAGCGAACCTCACAAGATACTGCCTATCGGGGCCTGTGCCCCACTCATCCTCAATCCATTCAACGTCATACCCCTTGCCAGGGATCGGTGGACCAAATTGAGGGGGCCGGTCTGGGAATGCATCAGCTGGGGTGAATGGAAGCAGCTTAGATGCATGGAAGACTGGGTAGGTTCGTAGATGCAGCGGGACGTCGATGACATAGGATGGGCCAAATGGATCAGCGCCCACTGTATCTAAGACCTGCCATGGACCCAAATAACGAGGCAACAACTTGGGGGAGATATCCTCCTCCCTCGACAACTCAGAACCCGGACATAATCACCAGTGCGGATGGGGGAAGGCCGCCTGTGGCGATTAGCTTGTTCAATCATTGCCTTTTGGGCTTTGAACAAGTTCGACCGTGCCCTTTCCACATCTATGCGGTAGCGTCTGGTGAACTCCGCGGTGCCCGGGGTCAGGTCTGACTTAGCCTTATCGATGATATCATTGAGAGGTTGTCGTGGTTCACGTCCCCAGTGCAACCGATATGGACTGAACCCAGTCAAGGAATGGACAGACATGCTATAAACAAGTTGTGCCCGAGCCAAGTGGAGATCTCAGTCCTGCTGATCTGGAGAGATGACAGGACGCAACAATTGGAATAAGACTTGGTTCATCACTTCAGCCTGACCATTGGCTTTAGGATGATGACCAGAGGTCATGTCCAATTGTGAGTGGAGGTAGTCCTTACAATAGGACCGCCACTCATCGCTGCAAAATCGGGGGTCTCTATCACTGACTATGGAAGTGGGCGGTCCATGGTGTGTGACCCACCTCTCTGAAAAGGCTGCTCTCACAACCGGGACTCTAGCTACCTCTGGCAAGTGGAAGAACTCTGCATATTTGGAGAACCTGTCCACGCAGACCATTACCTGGCGCATGACACGAGGGGTGGTCTTGCCTAAATCTATGAAATCAATCGACACAGATTTAGCAGGGACATCAGGTATGGGTAAGGGTTTGAGTAGTCCCAGAGGAGGCCTACGCTGGACCTTGTTCCTCTGGGAAAGCTCACAGGTTTCCACATATCGCAGCATATCACTCCACATCTCCTTCTAGAAGAAGCACTGCGATAGGGCTGCATATGACCTTAAGAACCCAAAATGTCCACGGACATCATGACACTCTGACATCAGCAGTGTCCTGAGCCGCTGGTCCTGGGGAATGCACAAGCGTTCCTCACCTCTGCTGTAAGTATACAGCAAGTCTGAACTCAGGGCATAGCCTGGTTCAGAATTGGGGTCCGCTTACAAATTCCTGACTATGGGTCCATAAGTTGGGTCCTTAGGCAGAAGACGAGCAATGGTCTCCTCTCCAAAGGAGTGAGTAGAGGAGATCAGTGTAAAAGAGTCACGCCTACGAGAGAGGGCATCTGCTACCTTATTGTAGCAGCCCTTCTTATGCTTCAGTTCAAAGTCAAACATGTCCATGAACTGAAAGTATCGTGCCAACTTATCATTTAACTCTCCCTGGGACTTCATCCACTGTAAAGTGGAGTGGTCTGAAAAGATCTTGAAGTGTCTTCCCAGAAGAAAGTGTTTCCAATGTTTCAGGGCACTGACAAGAGCATACAGCTCTTTCTCGTAGGTAGAGTTCTGAAGCTTTTGAATCTTGATCTTCTTACTCATAAACTCTACTGGCCGTAGACCATTCCCATCATCTTGCTGAAGAACTGGCCCAATGCCATACTGACTGGCGTCAATGGTCAGGATGAATGGCAAAGTGGGGTCAAGCAACTTCAGCACTGGTGCACGAGTCAAGGCCTTCTTGAGTCGTGTAAAGGCCAGCTGAGAGGGAAGGGACCAAAGAAAAGGAGTGTCCTTCTTTGTTAGGTTGGTCCGGGGTGCAGCCACTGCAGAAAAGTTTCTGACAAACTTTCTGTAGTAGGAGGCTAAACCCATGAAGGACCTGACATCCCTCACTGTCTGTGGCTGGGGCCACTCCTGAATAGCAGCTATCTTAGCTGCTTCAGGAGCCAGGCCATCTCCAGAGGTTACATGACCCAGAAGATGACAGAGGGAACTCCAAAAGAGGACTTCTCTCTGTTAATCTTATACTTGTTGTCACATAACGACTGAAGGACTAGAGCCAAGTGCTCCGCATGTTCCCTGGCAGTCTGGTTGAATACCGGGATGTCATCAAGGTAGACAACCATGAACTTGTCCAGGTAAGGCCTGAAGATGCGGTGCATCTCAGTCTGGAAGGTACCCGGGGCGTTGCATCGTCCAAAGGGCATGACCAGGAACTCGTAAGTACCATATCTGGTCTTGAAGGTTGTCTTATAGACATCCTCCTCTGCCATCTCAATCTGGTGATATCCAGACTTGAGGTCGACTTTGCTGAATACTGTGCAGCCCTGCACCATATCCAGAAGGTTATCGATCCTCGGAAGTGGCTCTGTACACTTCCTAGTGATCTTGTTGAGACCCCTGTAGTCGATGCACATTCTGAATTCTCCATTCCCTTTCGGGACGAAGAGGACTGGTGCCCCAAATTCCGAAGTGTTCGGTCGTATCCAGCCTTTGCTGGTCAGGGTCTCAAGCTGCTTTCTGAGCTCCTCAAGCTCAGCAGGGGGCATCCTGTAGATGCGGCCCTTGGGAGGGACCGCTCCAGGTAGTAGCTCAATGTGATGCTTGGTTGGCCGGTTGGGTAACCCAAAGGGCTCTTGCATCAGATCAGCGTACCGGTCCACAACCTGTTGTATCTCAGGAGGACAGGAACCAGTAGGAGCGTCTGTCTGCGTGACCAAAGCCAAGAACAGGCGCCCATGGTCATACTAGCGCGAGAGAGCATAAAACTCCCTCGCTCTCAAACAGTAGCAACTGGTTTTAGGGTGGTGTTCAGCAGCAATCATACATGGTTGATACACCCCCTGTCTGTTAGGCAGTTCAACCTTTGGGATCTGCCAGTCGATCCTTGGGTTGACGGCCTTTAGCCACTGCATAGAGAACACCAGGTCAAAGGGTAAGTCAGGGAATATGTGGAAGTTCAGAGTGTGTCCGACTTCCCCAGCATTGTCGAAGTTAACAGGGATACCCCTGACCTTCTCCCTGATCGTGAGAACAGTGGAGTCGCCTATTCTGACCAGCAGCGGTTGCTGCAGCTGCTGGACTTTCATGCCCAGATGCAACTTTTTGATAGCATTGGGAGACGTGAAGTTCCTGGTGGCTCCACAATCCAACAACCCTTTAATACTGATGTTATTGATCAGGGGCCGAAGAAGGATGAAATCAAATTTGCTTCTCTTTTGTTCCTTCAGATGAACGAAGAAAGCAGCAAGTGACTGAAGCTCATCCTGCCCCGGGTCCTGATCCGGGTCAGGATCCTTATAGCAAAAGGATGCTGCCCGTGCAGTCCCCAAACTCTCGGGCTTTGTCTCAACTGAAGCAGCTGCAGATCCACCTACCTCAGCAGATGGAAGTGCAACACTGGGGGGAACTGCAGTCCCCAGGGTCTGCTCCTGCTGCAGTTTTTCCTGCAACTCCTTCCGCCGAGTAGCAGTCAGAGGAGGAGTAGGGGTGGAGGTAGAAGGTTGTTGTTCTTCTACCTTCATCACTACTTCCACCTTTGGCTGCTGCTGAGTACCCTGATCCACCATTTTCCTCTATCAAAACCACCGAAATAGAGAGACAGCAATTGAGCATGCAACGATATCAGTGAAATACTGCAAATCCAATCAAGCCGTCCTGCAATACTGACTATTTTTGGATTGCGATTCACTGGCAACTTACAGAATTGAATTCTGATGGACAAAATTGAAGTTATGACTGACCCTAGCTAGCACAGGCTAAAATTAAACTCAGCGCAAAACTACAATTCACAGTATCTCTACTTTTCCAGTACAAAATTTTCAATCTGAGCATCCCAGATCAAACGCAATACAGTCAAGCAGTCGCAAAACAATTTTGGGTGGAAAAGAGTCAACAGAGGGTAAGAAATGAGCGGAGGAAGGTAGGAGAAGGATGGTTATGGCTGTCATGCAGTCTGCGATTTTCAAATCCAATCACTGACAGACAAATAGACTATGAATACTAACGATTCTACCCTATCTGAATTGCTATACAGGTAGGTGCATGGAACGGACTCACTTTCAGAGTTCTCTGCGTGACTTGATGAAGATTTGGCTATGGCAAACTGAACTCTCATCTCGCCAATTTCTCCCAGAGGTTCCTCCTCTCTGTTCAGCGCACAAAACTTTCAAACTTGTTGATCCTCTTCAGGATCCTGAAGCGCTGCAACCCCTTCTGCCAGATTCCCCGAATCTGACCCTGTGGCGCTCAAAAAGCCAACAAGAAATTATCTCGCCACAGTGCCTGACAGCTGCTGATGCTATAAATAGCCTCAAATGAGGTTATTTTCACCTGCGATTGACACAGACTGTCAATCTCCCTCAGCGCTGCCCCGGGGGGAAGCCGCTCAGAGGATTCTAAGGTCCTCAGGGGTAATTCGCCACTCTGAGGCAATTCGCAATACTGCCCTCAGGGTTGGCTATGGCGAATTAGCCCTGCTCTCGCCACTTCCTTGCAAGCGCCCTGACAGGCTCAGTGCGCTTGTTCAGTACAACCATTGAACTCTTGAATTCACCGCTTGAAATCTTCTTCCCTGCTGTCTCAGTACTGGAGAAAATGAATGGCCATGAAGCTTCTCGCCATTAGATCGGTAGATGAAGAAGATGCCTCTATTGCACTCAACTCTCAGTGCTCCAATTCCAATCCTGCTCCGATACCAACTGTTATGAACTTGGTTGTCTGACGATTTTCACCACCACTCACACACAGACAGTCTCATACACACCCATACATGCATAAGAGGAGGCGGAGAGGAGACGGAGTCCAAACTGCACACAGATCATAGTGGGCAGCGAAAGTTCAACCATGCACAGATGGGGAGAAGACACTCCGTGATTCTCACTCTCTGACAAACTCCCAACAACCAATCACAGGAAGACACCTGCGAGGATAACAATCGGAATTCACATTGATGATGAGCCTATTACAACCAAGTATCGTTACAAAGTTTGTTCCAGTGTCTCGTCACTTTCATAACCCCACACTCCACTCTCTACCCCACACCCAGTTAGTAGCGCAACGCCGAAATGGCCTCCCAGAGGCCAGCGCCAACCAGCCAGATGAAGAACAGATCCTGCGATGAAGTCTTCAGTGCCGATGGACAACTCTGACGAAGAAACAGGCAGCTATGGCTGCCGCCACCCACAAACACCCAGTGAAGAGCCTCGAGATACCCCCAGGGGTAGATGCGCTGAGGGTGCGCCAGCTCTGGCAACCTTCAGAAGGGCCGGCTATGGCTGCGTCCACGGCGAGAGTCTCAGGATGCCGCCTGTAGACAATCACCACCGCCAACTTGCTTGGCTTCTCCAAAACCTGCGTCGCAAGAATGAACCGCCAAAAGTCCTGAATGGTCCTACCCCAACCTACTTGTAGATTCTACACTACTCTAGCCTAGGACCTACCGGTACCGTTTCAGTTAGGGCCTGCTCGGCCTCTACGAAATCGGTCCTACTACTGCACTTAGGGCTCAAGGCCACTTAGGGCCGGTAACTACTCAGCCTCTACTGCTGTTACTTCAGGCTATTTTTAGAACAGCGGGCGGCCCTCAGTGCGACCAAAAAAAACACCGCAAACACACAGCAACACAGCAGTGCACTGTACAGCCTCGCAGTCAATCACGACAGCAGAAACCAGCAAGTCATTGCATTCGTCTTCAAGGTACCTGCAGCACAGCGCCAACTTCACAGGTTAGTGCCTGGCTCGTATGATGTATGTTTGGTGTGCGTTGAAACATTGATTGGGCTAGTCATTAGTATTCTAGCATTCTGCTTCGCTATATTGTACTACGTGAAAGAGGTCAGACCCGGTCAGGTCAGGACTTGTATCTAAGTCTTCCACTACGCTATAAAGCACCACTGTTTGTTGAGATTCCACTTGCACTGCATTGTCCATTCAGTCCTTTTCATCACGTTGCGGATCCTCGGTTATTGTGTACATCGCCCAACTGGGCATGTAACACCTGCGTAGGCTGAAGCAATGAGAGGCTGTTGTCGATTGACACCATCAGCCCATGTGTGCTGTGATGGTTCCCAATGACCTTCACTGCTGTGTACGCGTACGCCCGCGCCACAGCAGCGGGCAGTGCAAGGAACACAGGATCATCGCGACACTTGAGTCATTGCGGCGTTCCAGTATTTCTTCTGCCTTCTTGTTAACCTCCGCGTTGTTGGTGCATATGACATTGGTCTATTGAAGTTCAATCTCACGCATTATCTTGTCTCATAGCCTTGCTAGTGTTGATGCTGTCTTGTTTCTGCCAGTCATCGTCACTGTTGCCACAAGCTCTGCTGCTTGCTTCTGGGCAGCCAAGAAGTTCATAACGGGCTGATTGCGGCGGTCTGTCGATCCGTGCATAATGAACGAGATGCAGCCAGACTCGTCCCAGCACTGAGTGAGTGGCTGCACCACTTTCTTGATGTGGAGGTAGATGAACTCGAGCATGATTATGCGCATGTGCTCGTTGCCGGGAGCTTCACCCTTGCCCAACCACTGGCAACCCCCAAATATGTGTCATGCGGACTCTGTGTTTCTTTTTTCTTTGTGTGTTCGTAAAGGGCAATGGGCTCGAGATATTGTCTCTGAAGTTCGAAGTGATTCGAACGTTGGTTTCTGATTGCATGTCGATTTGAACGTTGGTTTGCATTTCAAGTTTTTTTCAACAATTCGTGTGTCATGCCAACTCTGCATCGTGTCGAACCTAACCTCAAGAAGTTGAATGCAATGCAATCCCCGCCCTGAACATATCTTCAGCCCAATTTCCTCTGCTCTTCGCCTGATTATCCACCCAGCCAACTCTTTATGGTCGTAACGGATTCCTCTTGCAGGTGAGTGATGATGTGCTGTTGGATGGGTATTATTCTGCCGGTATGGACTTTCAGTGGTCAAGAGATCCGTGCAGCAAGCCAGAACAATTATTAGATAAGGAGCTGGACACGTATCTCCGCTCACAATTGGAGGTGTGATACTTTCTCTGCTCCCTTTCCAGCTCTCCCCCCCCCCCCCCCCCCCCCCCCCTCTCTCCAACTATTATTCTTATTGTCACTAATTAGAACCATTACCCTTATACTACCATCAAATAGCTCGCATAAGCTAGGATCACGTCATTCCCACTTCATTTTCTTTTTTCTCAAATATCATTCTTAAAATTCCCCAAAATTCGAATCTTCAGTATTTTCCTCGAAATTCACTCGGAATGACTTAATTAATTTGAAATTTGCAAAATTTCAATATCTCATACTTTTCAACCTTCTTGCTTTCAAACTACAAACGACATTAATTCGACATTACTCAAATTTCTTGAATTACTTCCAAATTAATCCGAAATTTCAACTTTTTTCGTTTTGGATTTTTTTATTGCAAAATATGATTTTACATCTATTAATTCTTTTCAACCAATTCAAGTAATTAGAGATTAATTTAATTCTGAAAACACTTTAGAATTAACTATTTTTCAAAATTTCACCCCTCTTCTTTTTTGCAAGTTTTTTTTTTCTTTTGAACTCTTCACTTATTTTTTGAATAAAGTCAATTAATCCAAGTCAGAATTAATTTCTTCATTCGAAATTAATTATCCTTTTTCAAAATTTCAACATTTTCCCTCCACAAATTTCCTGAAAAAAACTTTTTAAATCCATTATTCTTGAATAAAATTCAATAAATTCAATTAATCTAGAATTAAATACGAAATTCATCTTCGGAATTGATTCTCGTCAATAACATTTTCAAAATTTTCTTCTGTGTAAATAAAAGTTTTCAACCCCCCCTTGGCATGACGCGCCAAGCCAACACCTCGTGCAAAGATGCCGAAGTTGCTGCCATCGCGGTGTCCCGGCCCTTCTGTGCTTACCAGATGCCAGTCCAAAAGTTCCGCTCTGTGTCAGATGCCAGTCCATGCGTGCAAAGCTGCCGAAGTGAGTGACTTGGATGCGGTGACCCAGTCCTGGCATGCATTGGACCAATGGCAACAGCACAACCCGCCGACTGGGCCTGTGGAAGATGGTCTGGAAGCCAGGTCGCGACGGAGGCCCTAACGCGGGAAGGTGGTTACGCGCGTGGAGGGCAGAGTCACTGGGGGAAACGAGTCAAGAAACGGGGGCCAAGAAAGAGAGAGACACAAAAGTCTGACACGAGAGAGAGAACCGGGCTTTTTCGCTCCTTAACTCTTGGCGTCATCGGCTAATGGAGGTCATCCATAGCCACACTTCAAGCGTTACAACGCCATTGGCAGGGGCACTGAATCTGTGGAAGTGCCGCTGGTGGTGAAAGCGGCTTGGACACGAGCGACACGTTCAAAAGAGGGAAGTCAGATTCACACGAACCAACTGGAGAAGGGAACATGCTCAACGTCGTTGATGTCATCTACCCCTGAGCAAGGCCAACTCACGACAATCGATGTAGTGAGGCGGCAGATGGGTGTCATGGCCTGACAATGCCGAGCGAGACCTAGTTCTCGATGGGAGCACTGTGCAAGGAGGCCGCTCGGTTGACGTCATCCCTTCTGTAAAGACGCAGAGCAGGGTGAGGACGAAAAGGGGGTGCGCATGATATGCAAGCAACGGGGAAAAGGTGAGGAAGAAAAACTAAAGGGAAGCGCTACTCGGGTGTGGTTTCATGAGCCAACACCACTTCATCTTTCTTAGTCACGGTACTAGAGAGGAAGGGCATGGAGTACGAGTGACAGTTTGTGAGTGACGAGTGGAATTGAGCTGTACTCGGGCATTCCAGGGCCAGGCTTTCTTGAGGGGTCCGCGGGGCCAACCCGATCAATGTGGTAATTAACTTGTTATCTTCAACAGCCGCCAAACAGCACGTATGATCATCTCACTCGCTCTGCAGCAGGTGACATCGGAGTGTGAGTTGGGTTTTCCACAAGGAGAGACATTTGCTCGAGTCTCGCCAAGGAGGTGTGGGCAATCACACTTCTGATGATGCCAGTCAAACAGCGCGTGAGGTACCTTCTTGGGCCAGACTTGCCTAATGAGTTCCCGTGAGCGTGTGGATGACTCCTTGCCTAATGTGTAAACCACGGGGCCGAGTTGTACTTGAGAGTATCTATGGGAGAGCCATGAGCGAGATCGCAAGAAAACGAGCTAGTGGGGCGAGTTTAGTAACAAGTACGAGTTGTTAGGGTCAAAATTAGAGGGGAATCTCGCGCTCGGTTATGGAGAAGGTCGCTTTTTTTTTTAAACGCCTAGCTGTTCAGCGCTGCATGCTCTGCGCCCAGAATAAAAGCTAAGGGCTCTGAACGCCGGTTCTGATGTCACTGGGTTGGGTTTTTTAAGTGATCATACTATTGAATTTTCTACTATGAGGCGCGCCCGTGTCAACAATGGCGAGTGGGTGGAAGGCGAAGGCCATCGCGGAGAACCTGCGCAACAGGTTTCAAAGACGCCAGATTTGCCATTGCCCGAGCGACCACGATCGGTCCCAACAATCCCCAAAACCACCATGTCCGAGCTCTAGATTTCGAAGACGAAGCCCTGGTTGAGTGAGAGCTACTAATCCCCCGTTGTTGTCTATCCCATCCTGATCTTCACCCCGATCCTTCGACTCCCCCCCCGCCCCCATTTTGTCCTCGACTCCCCCCCCAGTCCCAACTTCGACCTTCCCCCATCCCGGTTTCGACGCCCTCCCAATCGCGCTTCTCTCCGATCCTGATCCACCACAACCTCGACTCCCTCCCAATCCCCGACCTTGTCTCCCTCCCAATCCCAACTCCCAATCCCAACTTTGACTACCTCCCATCCCGGTCTCGTCTCCCTCCCGACCCCGATAGAGCCCATCTCTATCTCCTTCAACTCCTTCCCACACCCATCCCGACCTCGACTCCTTCCCAATCCCAACTTCGACTCCCTCCCATCCCGATTTTGACTCCCTCCCAATCCCGAGCCCGGCTCTCTCCGGTCCTGACCCATCACGTCCTCGACTCCCTCCCAATCCCCGACCTCGTCTCCATCCCAACTCCCAATCCCAACGTCGACTACCCCCCATCCCGATCTCGTCTCCCTCCCGACCCCGATAGAGCCCATCTCTATCTCCTTCAACTCCTTCCCAATCCCAACTTCGACTCCCTCCCATCCCGATTTTGACTCCCTCCCAATCCCGAGCCCGACTCTCTCCGGTCCTGACCCATCACGTCCTCGACTCCCTCCCAATCCCCGACCTCGTCTCCATCCCAACTCCCAATCCCAACTTCGACTACCCCCCATCATGATCTCGTCTCCTTCCCGACCCTGATAGATCTCATCGCTATCCCCTTCAACTCCTTCCCACCCCCATCCCGA